TCTGTGTGGATTCACAAATCAGTAATGGGTGTAGGCAGTTAGGATGAATTGTGTCGTGTTTTAGAGTGCTGATGATAGAGGCAAGGCGATTGACGAAGCACAAGCAAAAGTTGAGGAACTTAAGCAAGGAATTGCAGACGCCAAGACTAAAGTGAACGACCTGAATCAGGAGATGACAAGGACGACACTGAGCGCAGCCGATCTCAAGGCGCTACAGGATAAAGCGAACAAGGAATCCGACAATCCTGACGACCACATCACATTACCAGACCCTGCAGATATTAAAAGGAGAGCAGGGGAACAGCTGACAAACATGCAGACTGTCATTGATACGGTTGTTGATGACGTGGCGAAGAATGAAGCACAAGAATTGAAAAATACGATTGCAACGAAGCTTAATAGTGCGTTAGACGGCCAGTCCAATTTCGCTGTGTTGACTGTCCAATGCAAGGAAATTGATGTGGCTCTCTTGCAGTTCAGAAATCTGAATATCTATGGCTCTGCTGCGAGAATGGAACTGTAAAACACTGGCTTGATTTTAATATTAATAATGAACTGCTCTGTCTGTCATAGACTTCAGGAAAAGCCCAAAATCGTGTTTACTGTAGAACTATGTCCAGACATATCGAAAAATGTAAAACAGTATTAAAAAATAAAAAATATTATAATTGAAACAGGAACTAGTGGGAATATAACTGAAACGTTGTGTAAAAAGAAAAGAAGAAAAAATATTACAAAATGTCCAAAAACATGTTGTGTTTACTACTCTTGTACAGTATTATAAAATTCTACAATGTCATTTTATTTGGTATACTTTTTTGACTTACAATAGCAGAAAAATGATCTGTTAACTTTTGAGCCGTAAATCGGTTAAATTAACTTTTCCTGGACTTTTTTTTGGACAAATTCTCCATCAAAAATTGCTCTGTAGCTGTTTGTAAGTTATTTCGCTCTGAAATGTCGAACAACAACTGTCAAAGTTTATGTTATGTACGTTTCCCATCTTGTCATTCTCACTAACCCAAATCCCATTACCCCATACTCAAACCCCAGTTACCCCTTCAGGACCCTCCATTTATATTGGATAATTACAAATATTCGCTATTGCACAGTAATAGACACTTGGTCTTGCCTCTTGGCCATGAAACAATGACATGAGGTTGAGGCTGGCAATAACTAGATAAAGATAGCAGCCATGTTGGTGGTCTTTCAACGAAAGAATCTCATTATCTTTCATTTAAAATTGGCGGGTTGGTAGATTGCTGAATCAACAAGCCAAATATTATTATCATAACGTTTTGTTTTCTTTGTTCGAAACAAAGTCAAAGACATCAAAGGGCCGTTTATAACAATGTTTGGCTTATTTATTCAGCAACCTACCAACCCTGTTGTCTTTTAAGAGTGTACTTGCGATCATCGTTTCTCGTGCGCTCAATTGACACTCAAGCAATTCGTGAAAATCAAGAAGTGTTCGGCTACTCTATTTAGTCGTATATATAATCAAATATTGTCCAGTTATCCAGCACCAAATCATCTCAGTTCTATTGCCAAAGACATGTTCATCAGATATTCTTACATAACCCCTTGTCTTTGGTTAGGACCAGGATTTCCCAGCCCAGCGGACGAAAATACAAAGTACACAATTGCCATCAACACTAAACCGGGCAGTCCAAACAATATTAGCGCTACAAGAGCAGCAATAAGAATGACTGGTTCGACCACGTTTCCTGCCAAAGTGAATCGCGGTATGCCAACACGAATGAGGTAATTGTTCATCTCTGTAAACGGGGAATTGGCATTGTTTTGTCCGCCATCTTGGATTCGCGGACCATTTTCATTTGAGGTTCTAGCGTTAGTTTGGCCTCGATTTGTGTTGCTTCTGCGTTCACGATACGCCTTAGCTCTTGGGTCGTTGTCTGGAACTATTTCTCCGTTGATTATTGTCACCATTCTCTTAACTTTTTAACATTTTATTTTTACTTTTTCAAAATTCGTCCACCTTAAATTAGACTAGAACCCATGTCTCCTCGGCCTCCTCACTGATCTATGTATTCACAATTGCACGTCTGGACAGCCAATCGTCCGCCATATTGGTTTACAATAAAGATTGTTCAAGACTCAAAATAAAGGGAAAATAAATCTTTTTAAAAGCTTTGGCGTAAATTTTGGACCAATGCAACATGGCTAGTAGCTTCATAAAGACAAGAAGTTTCTTTAATGCTGGTAAATTTGCATCTTAATCTTGTTTCTGTGCATGCGAACTTTAAAGACATGCTTTGCAAAATATAGTGTATTTCAGTATCTGTACTTTATTTATTGCTCATTTTATAAATATATATTTGATTTGAATACAGCCAGGCCAGGTCATATTGGAGTAAGACTGCTGTCTAATGGAACACCAGAGGTATTTAATAGTTTTATACAATTTTCGGGACAGTATTTATAAATTTATATTAATAATACACTTTGATAGTTTGATTGTTTAAATGTTAATTTTTAGGAGAAGAGAACATTCGGAAATATGAAAGTATGTAAATGAAGAAAAAATAAATAATACACTATTTGAAATTTTATAAGTGTTTTAATTTGTTGAGTAAAAATGTGTCTTAGTTATTTTTTTGTGTTTCTTAAAAGGATGAAGACAGAATATTTACTAATCTATATGGTAGACATGACTGGAAACTTAAGGGGGCTATGAAAAGGGTGGGTGTACCATAGAGTACCATTTGTACTGGCAATACATTGACCACCATACCATAACTTTCATCTAACTACTGTATTTCTGTAACACAGGGTGATTGGTATAAAACCAAAGAAATATTGTTAAAAGGTTCTAATTGGATTCTGGATGAAATTAAAATGTCTGGACTAAGGGGCAGAGGGGGTGCTGGTATGTGGTTGCTAATATCATCATCATTATTAGTACCATCATCATCATTAGTACCATCATTATCATCATCATCATTATTAGTACCATCATTATTATCATCATCATTATTAGTATTATCATCATCATCAGTATTAGTACCATCATTATTATCATCATCATTATTAGTACCATCATTATCATCATCATCATTATTAGTACCATCATTATTATCATCATCATTATTAGTACCATCATTATCATCATCATCATTATTAGTAC